CTGTTGAACAGCCAGCAAACCTGCAGCATTATTTATTATTCATCACAAGTGAGACACAAAGTAATGCTAACATGCTAGATTTACAGTTAAACTAACTGGTTCAGTAGGAGAGGCCATCCCACTTTGTTGATTTCTTCAGGTTACATAGTTACCCTTAACAAACAACAAAATGAAAACACTTATTGAAGAAACTGCATGCAAAGCAATCCTAAAAATAAGCCATTCCTGTATCATATTTTTTTTACCTGTTCTAACAAGTAAAGCACGCTCATATAGTTATAAGCATCACCAAAAGGGCCATTTTTTATCACGCAAGCCCTTTAAAGATATGCAAGACCTCCTGTCAAGTGCTTACAATTTGGAGAAAACAAAAGCAATGCACAAACTAATACACACATAAAGACATGCAGATGTGTTTTAAAGGCTTTTTTTTCTAAGTAAATTGATCATCAGCACCTGAATGGCTGCATGTGTAGTCATTTAAGGAAAAAAGGAGTCGTAAGCCTTGAACCTACAAGCAGTTCAACAATGAGGAACAGCAGTCACATGCTGAAAATGGGAAAAAGGAATACAATCTACACGCTCTGCTAAAAAAGGTGAAGCAAAACTAGTGTTTGGGCAGATCAGACGCAATGATGTATGGGTCTAATTACGCTGGTGCACAGACAGAGTTACACCTGGGATGCAGCTAAGAAACAAAAAGTAGAAACACAGCATCTATTAAAAAATCTTCTCCACCTCTTCGCTGATCACTGAGATTGATTGTTGTTAAATGTGTCTTTTTCAGGAGGTGGAAACCTTGACAGCACACTGGAACCTGTACATCAGTCTGGGGGGCTTTTCTGTCGGGCTCTTGGTTGTGCCTCTCCTGGGCTCTTGGAGTGACCTCGCTGGTCGCAGACGAGTCCTCATCCTCCCTAACCTTGGCCTGGCCCTGCAGACGATCGTGTACCTTGTGGTGATGTATCTCAAGCTGCCCGTGGTCTACTTTCTAGTGGGACGGCTGCTTAGCGGCCTGTCGGGTGATTTTAATGCCGTCCTGGCAGGCTGCTTTGCCTATGTGGCAGATATCAGTGACAGGCGCTCTCGCACCTTCAGGGTGGCAATCCTAGAGGCGTGTCTGGGCCTGTCAGGGATGCTAGCCAGCATCATTGGAGGACAGTGGCGGCGGGCTCAAGGGTAAGGAATGTGTGTTAAAAGGTTTGTTCACACTGCTCTAATATATATCTAAATCAACCATATAAGCTTTACCTCTCTATTTCTGTGCTTTGTTTAGTTACATCAACCCGTTCTGGCTCGTGCTGGCCACCAACTTGGTGTCAGCTCTGTATGCCTTCCTCTTTGTCCGTGAGTCTGTGGTGCCAGACCCGAGTGCTAAGCTCCTCACTACTCGACACCATAAAGCTGTCTGGCACCTCTACTCATCAGGAGGCAGCAGCAGTGAGGCTGGAGGACAATTTCACAGATGCAAGCTGTGGCTTTACACGCTGTGCTTCTTTCTGGTGGTGACTGTTCACTTTGGCTCCAGAGAACTGTACGTGTTGTACGAGCTGAGCTCGCCTCTGTGCTGGGGCCCAGACTTTATTGGCTACGGATCAGCAGCTCACCACCTGGGCTACCTGAGCAGTCTGGCGGGGATAAAGATCATGCAGCGCTGCATGGAGGACTCCTGGGTGGCTCTTGTGGGTCTTGCCTCCAACATTGTTGGTCTGGTGGTCTTTTCTGTGGCTAACAGCACTCAGCTCATGTTTACAGGTGAGAGGTGTCGGAGCACATTCATAACCTCCAGATGGTTTATAAACCGATTGTAAAAAGTCAATCTGAATGTACTATGTGAGGAAAAATGTGAGGTAGGATAAATTAAGTGAAGATGACTTTTACTATTGTAGTACTTTACCATGATTAGGTGTTTTCTCTCTTCTATTATGTGTAATGGAATGCGGCCTCTGCCCAAGAAAAAGTCTTGTCTGTGTTAAGACTTACAATATATATTGGTGTCAATTTAATTTGGAGTTAAATGTCACTGCAGCATGGTGGCACAGTGGTTAGCACTGTTGCTTCACAGCAAGAAGTTCAACTTGGCTACCTGGCCGGGGGCTTTCTGTGTGGAGTTTGCAGTTTGCATGTTCTCCCCGTGTCTGTATGGGTACTCTCCGGTGCTCTGGCTTCCTCCCACAGTCCAAAGACATGCAGTTGGGTTAATTGGTGAATCTAAATTGCCCATAGGTGTGAATGGCTGTCTATCTCCCTATCTTAGGCTGGGAACCTGTCCAGGGTGCACCCTGCATGTCGCCCTATGTTAGTTGGGATAAGCTCCAGCCTCCCTTTAGACCTTTTCAAGGATAAGTGAATGGATGAATGTCTGCTTGTTACTTTGATTATCTTCCTGTATTTGTGCTTTTCAAATCCTTTTACCCCATGTTATTGTTATTTTTAAAGCAAATGTTAAACATAATGACACGTCAGTGAACAAAAGGCCACTGATTGTAGCCTTGTACTCAGGGTTGTCAGCCCTGAGTACAAGGCTACAATAAACTGTCTCTGATTGTAACCTCTAGAAATAATTAACACAGTTTATTCACCCGCTCTGGATTATTTCATGGATATTAAACAATTACACGCATATAAACATAAAAATCTGTTTTGGTTTTGGGTTTTTTTCTCCCCAGGTTATGGTCTGTGTTTGCTCTTCATGACATCGACACCTGTGCTGAGGTCCAAGCTGTCCAAGTTGGTGGAGCCGTCAGAGCAGGGTCAGCCCGTGATCGTGTACAAGTGTTACACATTTAAAACCAAAGTTGTGCGGATTGTGTGAGAGAGAGAGCTCAGTGTGTCAGCTGTGCAGTGGTGGAGCCAGTGAACTAATTAGATCAGCAGCACAGTTGAAGCACATGTTCCCTTGTCACGCGGGACAGCTTGTGCTCTGCAGGTTGTATGTGTAATTGTGTTACTGGGTGTGTGTGTGCTTTTTCTTAGGTGCCCTGTTTGCATCTGTTGCCTGTGTGGAGAGCTTGTGTTATCTGGTGGGCAGTGGCGTTTTCAACTCCCTCTACCCAGCAACCCTGCACTTCATGAAGGGATTCCCTTTCCTCTTTGCTGCTATCATCCTCTTCATCCCAGCTGGAATAATAGGGTGAGTCTGTTCATGCCTGTGTGACTGGCTTTAGTCTTATGGGCTGTAAACAACCAGACAAATGTCATTACTGACCATCTTCATGTCTGTATTTCTAGGACTCTGCAGTGTTTGGAACAAAGGAGAGACCAGAGAGATGCCACAGTGTCCTGACCTGCAGAGAGGTGGAGGGCAGGATCACAAAAGAGAGTGCAGGTTCATCCTGGTGTTAGTCTGAAAGGTGAGCAGAGGCATCCGTTGTGTCTGCAGTTTTATTCGCTCACCCAGGGATGGGATATTTCCATCTTGTTACACCAGAAAGAATAAGTAAGCGATGAAGAAACGACATCCTGACTGACAGTTCTGCCAAACCCAAAAATGTGTCTTTATAATTAAAATTTGATGTAATTTTTTAATATCATGAGCTATTGTAGAGCACCGGAGATCATGACACTGCAGTGTCGTCACAGATTCTATGTAACGCGTCAACAAAAACAAAGAAGTTATTTTGTAAATTGCTGCTTTCTGATTTTGTCCAAGTGCTCACTAATACAAATATCTGATCAGCTGATCACATGGCGGTACCTCGTGCATAATAAGTGGAACCTTGAAGCGGATGTGCTACAGCAGCAGAAGACCACACACACTCCTGTTAACTAACTCCTGTTAGTTAAAACCGTGAATGTATGTAATTGTTGTATATCTCCAGGTGTCACTGATTTAAGCCATATGTAGAATCAATCAGGAATGTTTTCCATTGTATGAATGTTAATCATTTTTATCTAAATGACTGCTTCTGCATTACACGCTGATCTGTGAAGTAATGCAGAAGCCGTGCACACAGTGTCACGTCCTAGTTGCACAATGAAGGAACAGGAGCTGTCGAATCAGCTTTAAATGCACAAAGGGAAGTTACTTGGCTGAGTGAAGTTTCCACTGACCTACCATTAACTGATTAGCAAGATTCGCGTGATCATGTGACCAAAGCCATCCTTAGAAAACATACAGTGTGCTACAACTGTCTGAGAAACCTGTCTGTTCTTCTATAATTTCCAATATTTAGCAATCTGAATACATTTTAGAGTACATTTTTTAAGTGATAAAATAAGTGATGTTTGTGTTTTAACTTTTAACATTTTATGTTTTTTCTAAAATTACAAAATGCAATTAAATTATGGTTTTGCACTTCCAGTTCTGTCAACAGAGTGATCTGTTATAATATAAAGTGTGATAATTTAATGATTTCAAACCCCAAAAATCTTGTTAATCGAGTTACACAATTTTATTTAATAAACTTGATTAACACATCTGGATGACTGCTTTTGTTGGTTTTTACAGGTGTACATTTATGCTTCATGAATACAGGACAGGTGTGTCAGATTGCTGTGTTTAATTATTTATTTATTTTCTGAACAAGGATACACTTTGGGGCAGTACAGTGGTGTGGTGGTTAGCACTGTTGCCTCACAGCAAGATTGTCCTGGGTTTGAATCCACCGGCTGTTTGGGGCCTCTCTGTTCTCCAATGTCTGTGGGGATTCCCTCCAGTACTATAGCTTCCTCCCACAGTCCAAAGGCACGCATGGGGTTAGGTTAATGGGTCATTCTAAACTGGCTGTAGGTATGATCATCTGTCTCTGTGTGTCAGACCTGCGATAGCCTGGCCACCTGTCCAGGGTGTACCTCTCACCCTGTGACAGCTGGGTGAAACAGCCCACCCACTCCCAAAACCCTGACTGGATAAGCAGAAGATGGATGGATGATACATTTTCAGTTCAAAAGCAGACATATAACTATTGGACAGACTGTGGTGAAGTAAGTCTTATGTCAGCAGTAATAATGGATTACACAGTGTGGTAATTCACAATTACACCGTAAAACAGAACAGATATTGAGGTACTTTTTACCCACTTTTATTACAGAACAGTATGTTTAACGCTACATGGAGTTATTCCCGCTACACATATTTCACTTGTTTATGGTTAAATTTGGGGCTTAGATTAAACTCACAGTAGTCACTCATCCTAAACAAATCATCAAGTCTGCCGAGGAAGATTTCTTCTATCACAACACAAACATGAAAACGGGAGAAATGTTGGTAAAGTCAGAGACCTGCTTTGGTCCATTTGATGTACACAGGTTAAAAAAAACGACGACTGCATATAGAGGAGCTTTGATGAACACTGATGTGTTAGCAGTGATAATGTTGCTGGGTGTCCATGTCAGCTGGTCTATCACAGTTATTTTCCTGAGATACAGAAGGCGCTTACTGTACCTGATTACACATATACAGCACTGACTAACATTAAAGGCTTAGAGTTTTTATATACAATCCCCTTATCAGTTCTATTTATTGTTAATAATTAAGTGTGTGCATATCAGGTATTCCGGTCAGCAAGTAATCTAAACATCCGGATTCATTTCACATGCATTAGGTCAGAGCAGGGAAAGCTGCCAGACTATTCACTGTAGGTTATGTGGAATTTTGGCATCATGGATAGTTATTATAGCTGAAATCGGACTGTGTTTATCTCAGTTTATTTCTTCTGCTCTTTGGAGCCGTCTGAGCGGTCGACTTGGTCTTGGGGTCCTTTCAGAAAGCGCAGGATCTTCTCGATCGTAGCCTCCTGATATTCGTGGGACCACCTATGTGAAGAGACGTCAGCAGGCATTAGATGATGTCGATTCAGGGAAAACAGTTCCCTCTAATTGGAATTTTTACACATCTGCACTAAAGTGACTGAAATATTAATGAGAGAAATATGAGTGCTATTGGGAGATTGTAATAAATGCAGTACAAATGGAACAAACAGCTGTGGTTTAGACCTGGTGGGAAAACAGTTTCCCCGCACATCACAACAGGACTGTGTCCACTGTCCAATCGGAGCACAGTATGCAGGGACTCACTTGATGCCGTTGAAGTTGAGAATGGCTCTCATGTCTTCTGGCAGGGACATGGGGTCAGGCCATGCAAAGTTATCTGTGACAGGAACTATGTTCTTCTTACCAGCCAGGGCCGTGACGATCTCCTGCAAGATGAAACAAATGAATTGGAGATAATCTATCTGAATTTCACTCCCCAATGGCAGCAGCTTCCCTCATAAGGGTAAAACTGCCTACCACAACACAAACACTGCTCAGGAACAGTGTGAGCAACACGGCAAAGAGCCCGACACAAGAATCATGCGTTCTCATAATAACATACATCCTAACCATGTTATTATGAACCTCTATGTACGCTTGGTTAACCTCTAACCAAGGATAGGATGTCCTAGAGCAAGTCCAACCCCACAAATCACAGGGAGCAGACACCACAGGACCCCTCCAAGGGTCCCATGTCCTGTTGAATCAGAGGTATTTAATGGCATAATATTAGGCAGAGTGGGATTTCTGTTAATTCAGTTTTTAGTCATGATATTTTATTAAAACCCGCCATCATGAATTTAAGTGGGTGTAAATGGAACTATAAACCTATTCATGAGTTTTAAGAGAGTTGTGTTCTACTGAAAATACAAAAACACTCCAAAAATGACTCCACAGAACAAACTTTAAATGCAAGCTCACAAATCTGATCTGATGTAATCCAATTGCCTCATGAACAGAACTACTGTGGAACATCTCGAGAAGAGTTCGAGGTGCAGTGATCTGACATTTTTCAGCAGAAATTAGACATAATTAGCCCTGACATTTCAACCATCGTGTGCAGGAAATGGAAAACTGACCTTATGCACCCAGTCCTTCATGGCTGTGTCTCCCATACACTTGTCGAGTGCACTGGCAGACAGGACCAGGATGAAGTTACGTGCTCTCTGCACACTCTGAATGAGTTTGTCCTCAAATTTACCAGCCTCCAGCTTCTCCACATCTATGAAGACGCTGTATCCTCGAACCTGCAGGTGCACCTTCAATAGGCTGGGAGCAAAACAAGATGAGCAGGATTTAATTTTAACCTTATCTGATCTCACTCTTCATCCTAAATGACCTTCTGCACAAAATCTTCTCCAGTTCTAACCTGGCCAGCTGTGAGCCCGTGGTTCGTCTGTAGCTGATGAAGACGTCAGGCCCTGAAGGCTGTGCATCGGTGTGGCTCAGTTTTAAGGGCCCGCGGCTGGCAGACAGTATCTTTGCTCTGTGGACGCCGTTCTCAATGTGGCAGTCGTGCTGGAGCTGCTTATCGGTCAGGCTCTGGATGTTGTGACGGTCCACGCCTGACTGGACTAGGCCGTAGGTGTACTGACGAAAACGGGGGTCCACCTCGCTTAACCAGTCGGCCATGTTGTTGGGGTCACATGTGGAGTAATTGGCGTAAGTCTTCAGCACACGCAAGTCTCTCAAAAACCTGGATGATCAGACAAATTAGAGGGTTTGTTTTTTTTCAAGACAAATAAACGCGGGTTCAAATATTATTCACCACTTGCCTCTTGCGAGTAAGGTTGGTAGTCATGCTCAAATCACAGCTCAAATCTTCATCTGTGATGTTCAGAAGAAGGTCTCCATCCACCTGGAGTTCCTACGTAATAACATCACCAAACACATCAGGCCAGTTTAGTCTGATTTTATTTATAAAGCATGTTTACAACAACAAAGTCAGCCAGCACACTGTACGTGAAAATGAGGGTTACACAACATAATAAAAGATACACCACACGCACACACCATTGCCCACACACCTCAATAAGTATATCTGAAGAATCACAAATATACTAGAGGCAATAAAGTACATAAATACCTACAATTTTCACTCTAGGATAAAAGCCAAGAAATGAAAATGAGTTTTAAGCCTTACTTTAAAAATGTACAAGGTGGGGGGCAGTCTAATTGGCAGTCCAATGATATTCTTCGGTGCAAAAGGCAAAACTGACCCTAAAAACGTTCTCTCCACTAAACCACTCCTAAGACCCAAACCACATCCATGTCAGTTCAGCTGTTAAACTGAGCTGTGAGATGAACGTGTGGATAGATATTTCATCTTTCTGTAGGAATAATGTGTCGCTCACCTGAAAACGATCACAGCAAGCGCTGAAGCCGATCTGCTGCAGCCACGTCTGCACCTCACAGGTTTTCCAGTTGGGCACGCTTGACAGGATTCGTTTCGGTACTTCCTCTCCCATCATGCTCAGCGCCCGCTTAGCGAGGGCACAGACTGTGGCATTGCTGGAGTACATGACGATTCTTTTGAGGCTCTGCACAGCACCAATCTCTTGAAATATCTGAAAAGGAAGGAGAAATTGGGGCTCAGCCACAATATATTTCAATTTTAAGTGAAATAGCCACCTGCCACAACAACAAGGCTTAAAAGAATCAGTCAACGCTAAAACATACATCTCTTCATAAAATAAAGGCAAATAATTAACGTGAGAATTTTCTCAAATTTTACTTTCCAATTAAGGTGAGGTTGTTTTGAACTGTTATCCAACTTATACCTGTCGACTCATGCTAAATACAAGGAGTCATGCTAAATAAAGCTCAGTTATTCAGCTTTTCTTAAGTACTGCTAAATGGTGATTTCAATCAGTAATGTTTCTTAACAACATTAAAATTGCATAAGACCCTGAAGCACACTGAATTTGTTTGCAGGTTTTGCCTCTGTAGGAGGAAGATGAGGCTACTCTTGTCCAGGCTGAACTGAAGAAGCAGCAGAGCCCTTCTTGTGGAAAAACCTGAACTGCTTTCTCTGCTTTTTCAGGCACACTTCCTGCAGATCTTTGTTCTGTTTTATGAGGTCTGTCTTCTCTCTGAAAAGTTCTTCATGCTGCACTTACACCTTCTTACACCTTCTCTCCAGTTCTTCTAAGGTTTCCTGCTTTTGTTCACGTTTTTCTCGCAGTTCTTTGTTTTCCTCTTCCACGTCCTTTTTTGTTCTTCTTTTTTTAATGGATTGTTTGTAAGGCCTCATGTCTCTGCTGTAGTTCTTGAAGTAAAGACTTCATGTCTTTCTGAGATTTGTCCTCCTCAAACATTACACGCAAATCTTCATTGTTTTTCTCCGATACTTGAAGCTTGCACACGATTTGTTGGTATACTGCTTCCTTTTGTTCCTTCTCGTTCAGCAATGGTGCATTTCTTCTCAGTGCTTTGTCTATCTTTCTCTGTGGCTTGGAGCTTGGATTGCATCTCTTCATGTGCTGCTTCCATAAAAGCTCCTTCTGCTCCTTCTCTCTTAAAAGTTGTGTGTTTCTTCTCAGAACTTCGTCGAACATCACTTCAGGCCTTTTCTCCATGTCTTGGAACTTGCATTTTCTCTGCTCTTCATTTTCTTTCAACATTTCTGTAATTTGTTGCATTTTTCCTCTTTCATTTGTTTAATCCTGATCTTCAGGTCTTGTTTCTTCTTGCATAAATGTTCTAAAGCTTTTCTGAGGGCTATAAATACACCCAGGTGAGCAGTGCTGGGATCTTCCCTTTGGCTTGAGTGGTGCTGTGTCTGAGACATTTTGGGACCTTGATACAATAACTCTGTAGAGGATTTAGATGTTAGTAATATTTGTTAAGTAATGTTTTAATGAATATGTTGAATTGTTAATTTATTTTATTAATTTATAATCAGTTTTGATTCAAATATCTATAAAATCCATGCACTTCATTAATCTAAAAAATAAATACTATGTGTCAGCCACTGGAAGTATTATTTATTATTTTATGCATCTGATGTCTTTCCAACTCATTAAATAAGAGAGACAGTTTTACCTTTGTGTTGCGCTGACGGGACTTGATGCTGGCCTCAACACACAGGTAAAAGGCTGCAATGCACTTTCCCTCCACTCTCGTGCCATCCAGTAACGGCAAAAGTTGCTGCAGGTCAGATGCGGTCCTTCCCTGCATGCTGTCTGCACTGTCCAGTAAACTGCGGGCAAAGTCCTCTGGATCCAGAGATGCGATGAATGGCTCCACTAGCTCCAAGGTCCCTGATTTCACCACCTCTTTCTCAATTTCTCTGTTTGCAGCTAACACAGTTACAGCCAAACAGGCATAGAAACGAATGAGTTCATCCTCTTTGGAAAAGGCCAGTGGGAAGAGCCACTCAGCTGCCCGTTTCTCGATCATCCAGCGCTGGCAGCAGTGGCCTCCATACATCGCACAGTTAGCCAGTGCCACGGCACAGTGACGCAGAACAGTGGGGTCCGTACCTCGGCACCAGAAGAGGAGGGTGTCCAGGGCGCCGTTGGTGATGAGGTGGATAGACGTCTCCTCGGTGTGTTTGAACATGTGCTCGAGGATGCCCGAGACGCTCCGAGCCAGCTGAGCATCTTCCTGCTGACGAGTCAGGTTGAGGATGACCCCCAGACCTATGCGAGCCACGTAATCCCTGTAGACAAATTTGGAAGATGGTAACAAACACTAAATACAGACTTCATACGGTCTGGGAGACTGAGTGACAGCACTTCAGCAGCCAAGAAATTGAAGTTCATACCCACCATCCCACATTCTTTATCACTAATTAACAGAAAAATTGATCAGAGTTTATTTACACAGCTAACACCCATATTTGACAACTGTTAGAATTTATATTATGGCATGAACCAATCGGTTAACTAAAGAGAAACGACAGTCTCTCATTGTTTAAAGAACTGAATGTCAGCCAGTCTGAAAAATTGCTAAAATTTTGAATGTGTCCCAAAGTACAGTCGCAAAAACCATCAAGCACTACAACGAAACTGGCTCACATGAAGGAAAGGAAGAACAAGAGTCACCTCTGCTGCTGAGGATAAATTCATCATCATCGCCAGCCTCAAAAAGTTAACAGCACCTCAGATTAGAGTCCAGATAAATTCCAGACAGAGTTCCAGTAGCAGACACATCTCTACATCAACTGTTCCGCCAGAAATCAGGCCTTTTCGATCAAATAGCTGCTAAGAAACCACTACTAAGGAAAGCAACAAGCAGAAGAGATTTGTTTGAGGCAAGAAACACAATGAATGGACAATAGACCAGGGGAAATCTGTGCTTTGATATGATGAGTCCAAATTTTGAGATTTTTGGTTCCACCTGCCATGTCTCTGTGCGGCACAGAAAAGGTGAACAGATGGTTTCTACATGCGTGGTTCAAACCATGGAGCAAGGAGGAGGAGGTGTGATGGCGTGGGGGTGCTTTGCTGGTGACACTGTTGGGGATTCGAACCAGCATGGCTTCCACAGCATCCTGTAGTGACATGCCATTCAATCCGGTTTGCATTTAGTTGGACCAATGACCTCAAACACACCTCCAAGCTGTGTAAGGGCTATTTGACCAAGAAGGAGAGTGATGGCCTGGCCTCCACAGTCACCTGACCTAAACCCAATCGAGATGGTTTGGGATGAGATGGACTAGCAAAAGGGATGAGACAGAAGGCAAAAGTGCCAACAAATCCTCCGCATCTCTGGGAACTCCTTCACAACTGTTGGAAAATCATTTCAGGTGACTACCTCATGAAGCTCATCAATAGAGTGCCAAGAGTGTGCAAAGCAGTAATCAAAGCAAAGGGTGGCTATTTTGAAGAATCTAGACTATAAAGCATGATTTCAGTTATTTTACACTTTTTTGTTTACTACATAATTCCATATGTGTTCATTCATTCATTGTTTTGATTCCTTCAGTGAGAATCTACAATGTAAATAGTCATGAAAACAAAGAAAAAACAATAAAATGAGAAGTTGTGTCCAAACTTTTGACTGGTAGTGTACGTCAGTGTGAATTCAGTCTATTATAGCTTTTGACGTCTGTTTAAGTAAAATTTGTTGTTTCAAACTGCAACATTACATGTTATTTCTGTGACAGGTGTACATAAGAAACGCTGCATGGTTTTAAAAGTATTCAGCAGACAGATCTCAGTACATGCAGGTAGAAGGGAATCACTTACAACTTGGTTAATGCAACTAAAAGTGTGCCCTGGGGTTCAGTTGAAAGAACCCTTTCACTGTAATGATGATAACAAGGTGGATGGACTGCTCTGCACATACTCTGACCCAGCCTCTCCTTCAGCTGCAATCAGCTGCTAGTACATTACAGCACAACATGTTTGAAATCCTGACGACACCGAACTGATGATCTTCTCAAATGCAAACTCAAAACCACTGAACCGTATCACTGCAGTCCTGGGCTGTGAATCAGTATCTCAGTATAAGTGCTTAAGAATTATAATAGATGACTCACTCTCTTTTACACCTCACTTTCAGCAGCTGTCTGTATATTGAGGCAACAAAGAGACTTGTTGCTCCCTCGTCATATCAGAGTTGTTATATGCATTTGTATAATGCCTGCAAGGAAGTTCCTTCAACTAAAACTTCATACGATTCCAGGTGAATATAACTGATCAGTTACTTCAGGCTGTAGAAACAGAGCAGAGGTGTCTGGCACAGCTTCATCTACTTTCGAACTGCATGGAGACGCTCCAGCAACACTTGTATTATAAAAATGAACTTTATCGCTTGACTGACGCGTTTCGGCTTGTAGTCTTCATCTGGATCTGGAGAGTAATCATCTGGATCGTGGATGCCAAGCAGTAAAGTTGTTCTTTATGCTACAAGTGTTGAGCTTCACCTTCTTCATGCTGCAAATATTTGACCACCCCTGTGTTCTGGCCCCAGACGCTGACGTTCAAATTGATGACTTGGAAATGTACTACACTTATTTTGTGTATTTTTGCTGAGCACTCATTTCTGAAACTGTACTGCTGCCAGTCTTGGCCAGCTTGCTTGTGGAAAGGAGAGTAATAATCTCAAGAGTCACATTAACCCCATTAAATAAAGGTTCAGTAAATAAAGATCACATTTTATAATCATTTACTAAGTGATTACTAGAATACTCAGACAAATATGGAGACACACAAACACAAATACTGCACTACCCGCAGCAGTGTTTAAACTTTATGTCTAAGTACAAAAACAGACTGCAATGTAGTACAGTCTACTGCGGTCCTGCACCGCATCACACCGTTACACCATACCTGTTCTCTGAGATCAGTATCTGCTCCAGCAGTTTTGCAGACTCGTAAGTTATCTCCACAGCAGGCGACTGCTGGAGCTGAAGCAGCAGCTCCAGGCCTCCATGCAGCCGGATCCTGTTGCAGATCTCCTCGGCCACTTGACGACCCACGGTAGGTAAAACCCAGGCCTCCTCCACCAGCTGGAAGATCTCCGCGATAGCTCTACGGGTCTCATCTGAATTCGATGTTTCCCTGGATGACTTCAGCCTACTGATGGCGGAGCGCAGGGCGGGAAGTGACGTGTCCAAAACCGCCTGGACGTCGGCATTGATCCCCGGAGAGATGGCCCTGGGGTCGCATGCGGAGCCGCTCCTCCCTCTCTGCAGCCGGCTGACGTAATCCGGGACTGTGAGCCGGTCAGAGCTGAACATGATGTAGAAATGTCGGTAGAGCCTCCACAAGAAGAGCGTCAGGGAGAAAAGCATCTACCGGCACAAACAATGTGATCGATCTGGATGCGCACTGCTAGAAGCAGCACTGCTGTGTTCACTTAAGGCCTGTGATCCGTGTTCAGCCTACTGGCCGCCCTGTAAACAAAGCCAACTCCTGCAGAAAAAGCAAGGCCTCGGTTATTAATCAAAAGTGACACCTTTCACCAAATCGCACATCACCTCTCTCTGGGTGGCATACGCGCCAGTAAGCCATTAAAGACGTCTGAGCAGATCTTGAGCAGATCAGCGGGTATTTACGCTTCACAGTTGCTGCTTTGTCTCTCTCAGTAGATGTGTTAGTGGGCACAATTTGTAGAAGTGTCCTTAAAGCGCACAAGACCTCGAACCGAAACGCTGGGAGGCACGGCCTGCTCGTTTTGCTAAGAAGAATAACAATAAACTATTGTTGCCTGTATTCTCGCTCGCATTCATTCACTGAGGCTTGGCTAACAAAGGAGACTTTTAGTTCTCATAGTTTCCCTTCCAACGCATCCAGCGCGCTGCCGCGGATTGTTTTCTCCAAAAATATCAAAAGTAACGCTCGTACCCTGCGTAAGTTCCTCGCCTGACATCCTTTGGTCAGCATCCGCAGGCTGCCTGCATCTTCAAGGCTTCGCACCGCCCACCGGCGCCGGATATGTTATCAGTGATGTACAGTGAAAGAAGCAGCACCGCTCCTCGTCATCTCTCAACTCCCTGCATCACAGCCGGTCAGAGCATGCGTATAGTGGCAAGGGCGTTTGTAAACACTGCAGGCCCTCTGTATATATATAGAGGGCCAGGAGTGGCGAAATGAATGAATTAAATACGCCATTAAATAATTAATTAAATATGTCGATAATTAATTGAAATTTGAAGTAATTAATTAAAGAAATATTTAAATAATTAATAAAATGCCCATTCATTTCATTTAAAACATTAAATACATACTTTTTATTTATTTCAAATTTTATTTAATTAATGACACATTAATTAACAATTGCTTAATTGTATATTTGATTAATTAATTTTTGACAAATTTGATGAATTATTTATTTATTTCTTATTTTAATTAATTATTGAACCGTTTAATTAATTACTTAATGATGTATTTATTTAATTCATTTTGGCAGTCCTGACCCTGTGGCTGTCTTGATGAATTCGTTTTACCTGTCAGCCTCACCCATCAAACTCAGGGGGCGGGGTTAACGCTGTTCAAGTCAAAGCCATTGCTTTGGCCTGGTGGCCATTCTTTTGGGCATTTCTCCACACCAACAACCAGCATGTGGAAACTAACTAAACTGTACTTTGAAATACCCTGTTTTTGTCTCACCAAATGCACTGTTATTTATTTTTTTTAGCCGAGAATGTAGTGGTTTAATCTTCAGATATCTGGTCGGTTTGTCATGATAGAGCCTATTTGCAAAAGTTCTTCGATGATTTCGGAGATGTCTGCCCAGCCCAGACTCACAGCAAAGCATGTGATAGACCTGTTCCCCTCATAAGCGCTTGAGCTGTTATACCACCGACAAAGCTCAGGTCCTGGTACACAACTGTCATAACCCAGAGTTTCCTAGCTGACATGAAAGTGTTGGCATCAAACTAACCTAACGGTCATCTATGAATCCAATTCACAGGTCATATCAATATTCTTTTACAGAAAATTATCCTCATTACTATCAACTATTCCAGAGACTCGAAAATCTAAAGCATAAAGAATATAAAAATATACCAGTCTGAGACCACACTGTTGTAAAAGAGATGAAGGCTTCAATTTGTCGCAGATCAGATTCATGCTGTGTGTTCTGTGGTATCTGCATTTCCATTAGCGTAAGACTTGCTAATTAAGACTGCTAATTAGCAGCAGATTAGAATAAAGTATAATAACATTTATAGGCTACGTTTAATAAATCACCAAATTAATACCTGCATGCTCCCGTGACAATGCCAGGCACCATGCTAATTTACAACACATTCCTCCATCATTCCCCCGTTTAAAACACTTAAATCGTGCTGTAAATAAAAGACTGAGTGAAAACGTGGCGCTTCCAGATGACTTTAAAAAGAAATGATCAATCGGTTTGAGTCTGTATTCTCTTAGCAGCAGACTTGCTGCTGTTTAAAGGTTTGAGAGTAAAGATTAGATATAAAAACAAACGTCAAACATAGACTCAGTCCACGTATACATTTGATATTAGGTCAGCAATTACAGTGTCTGTGTCCTGTTTTAAGATCTTATATGTAAAAGTTGTCTGACCTGCGTCGAGCCAGCCGCTCAGAGTCCGTGGTTACCATGGTTACTTGCATACGCTCCTGTGAATTAAACAGCCGGCACTGCGGTAACTAACCGGTGATATGAGTGTTTATGTCTTTCATTGCAAAAGAACCGACTGACTTGGTTAACTGATGTGTACTTGGATAAATTATAGTTTAGAAAGATCACATAGATTATGGTTATGGATAACGCCCACGTGGCCACCTGTGGCCTCGGAAATTTGAATTCGTGTACACCACTATACTGAAATAAACAGCCTATTACTGAAATACACGTGCAATATAATAAACTGTGATATAAATGTGGAGGTGCTGTTAACATGTTTAGTTATAAAACACACCTCCTTGCCTTTAGTCTCATTCATGAGCATTATTAATTGTGTAACAGTTGGTGAAATGTTAGTATTTGACCACTAGGCGGAGCTCTTGTAATGATAATGTAACTAACTCATTTTATTTTGTATGTTTTATTTTTGTGTTGAGCATGTTAACATTTTCCTTTTTTGCCTACCGGATTGGTGTACAGTTAATTTGATACATGGAAAATAGCCGGTTAATTTTGTAAATAAAAGGTAAGGGCAGAGGTCACTTCCTGTTTTGGAAAAAAGTCAGAGAAGCTGCGCATGGTGACGGTCTAGCCGTGTAAAAGTCAAGCTAAGAAAGAAGAAATAAGCCCTAAGTTCCAGTTACACCGGTTTGTCTACTTGCAGGCCAAAGTGGTATGTTTGTTTATATTTTGTGAATTTTATATTGTAATATGTTTTAATGCTGAAATATAATTTTCTTGTACATTTGTATTCACCAGTTCTACGGTGTACCTGTACGTTAAGAGAAGCACAGTAAACATCAGTAAAGAAGAACTCTCGTGTCTCTCGTGTCTCTCGTGTATGTGTACAAGCCGGCATAGTAGAACACTCCACTGCTCCGGAGAAGGCAACGAGATGGTTGGACCGACGCTACTAGCAAGAGACGCTACTAGCAAGAGAAGTTACTAGCAAGAGAAGTATCACATGCTCCAGCAAATGCATTGAATACGTAAAGAAGCAAGCTAACAAGTGAAAGATAGTCAAGCAAGCACAAAAGTCCGTGTCTTGGAAGTAACAAAGCACTTGTAAATTGTTATCAAGCCTCAGTTCCATTTGAAATTCAAAGTGACCTTTCATATTAAGGAGCAGCTAAAATCAAGATTTATCAAGTAAATGTTAAAGTCAAGTGAAAATACTATTAAGACGACATGGCAGATGAAAATGAAGATGCAATACAGCCCACTGAAGAAGAAAGTGCTGAGGATAATTTTCAAAATGATGAAAGTAAAGAGCAGACAAATGGAGAAGAAACTCCACAGTGCTCAGTATTTACTGAAGGCACACAGTCAGAAAGCTTACGCAGAAGCCAGCGCACACGCACTCTCACTGAAAAGGGACAATCCTTACAAGAAGCCAAGTTAAATGACTTGACAAACAATTTTGAGCGAGTTTACAAGAAGTGGAAATACCACATAAACTTATTTAAAAGAATGGTGAAGAGTAAAGACATTGAGTTAATACCTGAAGCTGTAAGTGTTATAGACACTAGTATGACTGACATCTGTAACATTCATGATGAGATCAGAAAAATACAAAGTCCTGATATTGAAATGCGCAGAAGATGTGATGTGTGCATGGCTATCAGTGAAACTGCCAGAGCAAAGGCTCGGTGCCTTTTAGAAGAAGATGGTGATCCAAATAGTATACCCTGGCCTGATTCAGAGTCCGTGTATGACAGCAGTTCATCCAGCGCTTCTTCAAGGATCACATATAAGTCAAGGTCTATCTCTGGGATGTCAAAGCAATCATCTCTGGTCACACTACAACAAAGACAAGAAGCTGCAGCTGATGTAGCAGCTACAGAAGAAGTCATTAAAATAATGAAAACACAGCATCAGTGTGAGGAAGAAATCAGAGAACTTGAAGTTGAGGATGCAAGGAAAAGAGCTCAATTTCTAACTGAGAGCACCTCAATAAAGACAAGGTTAGATGAAAAGAGAAAGGAAGTGGAACTTTTGAGAGAATTGCAAAAGCGTAATGCAGCACAAGCAAGATTGAAAGTGTATGCTGAAAGTGTGAATAGTGAGGATGAAGACAAATCTCCTGTTCATTCCCAAGTAAGACAAGATAGTTCCGTCCGCAACCAAGCTTTCCAAATGTGAACTCGAAACCATTCATCCCATCTCAAGTTAGAGCTCCGCAACAAATTGCACCTCTCCGAGCCTCTGTCCCTCAAACAGCAATTCGTAGTGCAAATGAAACGCCCTCCACTGATCTTGTAAGGATGCTCGCTGAAGCTATCACTGCAAACAGAATCCCAATCCCAGAGCCTCCAGTCTTCACAGGTGATCCACTGCAGTATAATGACTGGAAGTTGTCTTTTCAAACATTAGTTGACCGCAAGAATCTGCCAATTCAAGAAAAGCTATTCTTCCTGAGAAAGTATGTTGGAGGTTCAGCGAAGAAGGCTATTGAAGGACATTTTCTGGTTGGAACAGACACCGCTTATCATGCTGCCTGGGAGATACTCAACGACAGGTTTGGAGATCCCTTTGTGATAGGCAAATCATATCGTGACAAGATTCAGTCATGGCCAAAAATTAACAACAAAGACACTAAAGATCTACGTGAGTTTGCAGATTTTCTAAGCAGTGTTGAGTCAGCCATACCTTATGTTCAAGGTTTACAAGTTTTTCATGACTGCGTGGAAAATCAGAGGATAGCTGCAAAGCTGCCTGATTGGCTAAGTGCACGGTGGAACAGAACGGTGACAGAGTTTCAAGATGAACACAGAATGTTCCCAGATTTTAGTCATTTTGTCAAATTCCTGAATAAAGAAGCAAGAATTGCATGTAATCCTATCACTTCTCTGCCTGCAATAAAGCCAACTGAACAAGACAAGCATGCATTCAAAGACAAGCCCAAAAGAAACTACATGCTGAATGCTAAGTCACTTAGTACAAGCTCTAGTGAAAGGACAAATGTCACATGTCTCTTTTGTAAGAAACCTGGTCACACGCTTCAGAAATGTCGCAAGATAATGGACAAGTCAGTTGAAGAGAGAGTAAAGTTTGTGCAGTCTGAAAAACTGTGCTTTGGTTGCCTCAAGACTGGTCATAACTCTAAGAACTGTACTTCCAGAAGTGTGTGTGACAAATGCCAAAAGCCTCACCCAACTTGTCTACATCAAGACAGAGAGAAAAGAGACAAGGAACAAAGAAAGAATAGCCAACAACAATTTAAGGCTAACCAGGAAACAGAGGTTTCTGAAGTACAAGAGCAAGTATCTAACCAAGTTACATCCAACAGAGTTGTGCAACAAAAGTCAAAAGGTTGTACTTCCTCAGTTATCCCAGTTTATCTATCCACTGTGGATGAACCAGAGAATGAAAAGTTGGTGTATGCTTTGCTCGATACTCAAAGTGACACCACTTTCATCTTGAAAGACACAGCTCAGTCGCTCAACGCCATGTTAGAGCCAGTTAAACTCAAGATTTCCACTATAACGTCCAAAACAAAAGTTGTTTCAAGCCTCAAGTTAAAGGACTTACAAGTAAGAGGCATTTACTCTGAAACGAGAATCAAACTACCAACAAGCTATACCAGAGACTACATTCCTGCTAACAGATCACATATTCCCACAAACAAAACAGCAGAGAACTGGTCACATTTGAAACATTTATCAAAGGAGATGGCTCCCAAGCTTGATGTGAAGTTGGACTACTGATCGGATATAACTGTCCTCAAGCATTGCTCCCTCTAGCGTGGTCATGGTGATCGAGACCAGCCATTTGCACAGAAATCTCTGCTTGGCTGGAGCATCATTGGCTACAGTGACTCTGAAGGTGATTGTGAAGATGAAATAGGAGTAAGCCATCGTGTTATTGTTAGACAAGTCTTGCCAGCTGTAGGACCAGCTCACAAGCTCAAACGGAAGTTCACTTTGTAAGCAGAAACAAAGTCAAAGAAATACTTACTCCAGCCGAGATACTTAATGTGCTAGAGATGGACTTTGTTGAAAAAAGTGTTGAAGAAGAGTCAATGTCACAAGAAGATCTACTGTTTCTAGCCAAAGTAAAAGAAGGCATAAACAAAGGCAAGATGGCCACTTTGAAATGCCACTACCTTCAGACAAGAAAGACCTGACTTGCCAAACAACAAACTTTGTGCAGAACACAGACTGAAGTGTTTAGAAAGGCGTCTCAGAAAAGACGAGCGCTACTACAAGGACTACGTGACTTTCATGCAAGACATCATAAAGAGAGGTGACGCAGAGAAAGTGCCAGAGGCTGAGCTAAATAATTAACCAGCATGGTACATTCCTCACCATGGAAGATCCGCGTCGTCTTTGATTGCTCTGCAAGGTTCCAGAATACATCGCTCAACGAGCATCTCCTGTCAGGACCTGACCTCACAAATACTCTTGTTGGAGTTCTGTGTCGTTTCAGGAAAGGACGTGTAGCTGTCATGTGTGATGTGGAGCGCATGTTTCACCAGTTTCATGTTGCCCCAAAAGATCAAGATTACCTCCGATTCCTATGGTGGGAGGATGGTAACATGGAAAGGTCCACATCAGTGTTTCGCATGAAAGTCCACTTGTTTGGTGCAGCATCTTCACCAGGATGCGCAAACTTCGGATTCAAGCATGTCGCTGCGCAAGGTGAAAATAAGTTCAGTGAAGCCACGGTGAAGTTCATGCAACGCAACTTCTACGTGGACGACGGTTTGGTGAGTGTGGATTCAGTGCAAGAAGCTATTCAACTTGTAAAGGAAGCTAGAGAACTGTGTGCCACGGGTAAGCTGCACCTGCACAAGTTCATTAGCAACAGCAAGGAAGTGGTTGCTGCTATCCCAAAGGAAGAATGTGTAGCAGGAGCAACTGATCTGGATCTGGCACTAGGAGAGCCAAAGATAGAAAGAGCCTTAGGGGTCCAATGGTGTGTAAGCTCAGACACCTTTCAATTCAGGGTGATTGTAAAGAATAACCCCTTCACTAGAAGAGGAGTGCTCTCGACAGTGGCCTCAATATTCGACCCACTTGGATTCATCGCTCCGTTCATTTTAGTTGGTAAGAAACTCCTCCAAAGAATGTGTCAGGAAAAGCTGGACTGGGACGAGCCGCTTCCAGAAGATCTCAAGCCTCAATGGGAAGCTTGGCTCAGAGACCTCCAGAACCTGTCCTCCATAAAGATATCACGTTGTTATGTCCCATCAACATCTGACCAAGTGAAGCAGTATGAGTTACACAGCTTTCTGATGCCAGTGTAACCGTTATGGTGTGTGCTCATACTTGAGAACAGTGACCAAGTTTGGAGAAGTACAGTGCACTCTTGTGATGGGTAAAGCAAGAGTCGCTCCTACTAAAGTGACAACCATCCCAAGATTGGAGCTTTCTGCGGCTGTAGTAGCTACGAGAGCAGCTGACTTTCTAAAGAGAGAATTGGAGATCCAAAATATTCAGGAGTACTACTGGACTGATTCCAAAGTTGTCCTTGGTTATATTAACAACGACACAAGGCGCTTTCATGTATTCGTTGCTAACAGAATACAGAGAATCAGATCAAGTACAGAACCAAGTCAATGGCGATATGTTGCCTCTGAACAAAATCCTGCAGATCACGCATCACGTGGAGTCATGACAAAAGAACTAGTACAGTCCAACTGGTTCACAGGACCAAGTTTTTTATGGCGAAAGGAACTACCACAAGAAGATGCTAAAGTGAAAGAGATCAGTATCGAAAATCCAGAACTCAAAGTCACAACAGTATTCGCAGTTAAGGCAAAAGAAGAGAAATCCATTTTAGAACGACTGGAAAAATTCTCAGATTGGACGAGAGTTGTGAAAGCAATAGCAAGATTAAGACGACGTGTAAAGTATGCAAAGAACTCAAAGGAAATGTCCAATGAAAGTACTACGTTGGAAGAAAGGAAAGAAGCCGAGGAGTTCATCATACAGACAGTTCAACAAGAAGCATTTGGAAAGGAAATTAAGATCATAAAGGATAAGGAGGAAGTCAGACCATCTCACTCAAAGCTACTTCAGTTAAGTCCATTCCTTGATCAACACAATATCTTGAGGGTAGGAGGAAGACTTACAAAAGCATCAATCCATCCCAACATCAAACACCCAGCCATTCTGCAAAGAACATCATGTGTCGCACCTGCTCATCAAACATTTTCATGAGAAGACGCATCATCAAGGCCGAGGGATGACAGTAAATGAGATACGGTCCAATGGCATATGGGTAATTGGCTGCAGTACTGAAGTATCGTCATTTATATACAAATGTGTCAAATGTAGAAAGTACAGGAAAGGCAATCAAGAACAAAGGATGGGAGACCTGCCACCAGAAAGACTGGAAGCTACCCCTCCATTTACATACAGCGGTATGGACTGCTTCGGACCATTCTGTGTAAAAGAAGGGAGGAAAGACTTGAAGAGATATGGACTCTTGTTTACATGTATGTGCTCGAGAGCTATACATATAGAAGTTCTAGATGATCTCAGTGCAGACTGTTTTCTCAATGCACTCCGTTGTTTCATAGCAATACGTGGCAACGTGGTCAGCTGCATTGTGATCAAGGCACCAATTTTATCGGTGCAAGAAACGAGCTTCTAACGCAAGCAACTCAAGAGAAAGTCAAAGAGCTGGGAATAACTTTCGTTTTCAACCACCTGCTTCTAGCCACATGGGAGGAGTCTGGGAGAGGCAGATTCGGACAATAAGAAATGTTCTGAAATCCATTCTTGACCAGTCAGCTTCAAGATTAGACACTTCATCATTGAGAACGTTCATGTATGAAGCTATGGCAATAGTAAACAGTCGACCACTAACTGTAGAGTCTATCAACGACCCTGTAGGACTGGAGCCGTTGACACCCAACCATATTTTGACGATGAAGTCAGCAGTGATCTCACCACCACCTGGAGAATTCGCTAAAGAAGATCTCTACCTCCAGAAAAGATGGAAACGAGTACAATATTTGGCGAATGTATTTTGGACAAGGTGGAGAAAGGAATATCTGTTAAACTTGCAACAGAGAAGCAAATGGAATAAAAACAGAAGAAATGCAAAAATAAATGACATTGTGTTATTACAAGAAGACTGTCTTCCAAGAAATCAATGGAAACTCGCCAAAGTTGTGGAAGTCACTCCTGGAGCTGACGGCAGAGTCAGAAAAGTTAAGCTTCTCATCGGTGACTCTACTAGAGACAATAAGGGGAAGCACACAACTAAGACGATTTTAGAGAGACCCATACATAAGACTATACTTTTACTTGAAGCAGAGTAAAGACTCAACATAATGTTTATTGGTTAACCTTCGCTAAGTTCATTGTTGGGTCAAATTCCTTTAGGATCACACATGCTGTTGATAGTGTGATGGTGGGAGTGTAACAGTTGGTGAAATGTTAGTATTTGACCACTAGGCGGAGCTCTTGTAATGATAATGTAACTAACGCATTTTATTTTGTATGTTTTATTTTTGTGTTGAGCATGTTAACATTTTCCTTTTTTGCCTACCGGATTGGTGTACAGTTAATTTGATACATGGAAAATAGCCGGTTAATTTTGTAAATAAAAGGTAAGGGCAGAGGTCACTTCCTGTTTTGGAAAAAAGTCAGAGAAGCTGCGCATGGTGACGGTCTAGCCGTGTAAAAGTCAAGCTAAGAAAGAAGAAATAAGCCCTAAGTTCCAGTTACACCGGTTTGTCTACTTGCAGGCCAAAGTGGTATGTTTGTTTATATTTGTGAATTTTATATTGTAATATGTTTTAATGCTGAAATATAATTTTCTTGTACATTTGTATTCACCAGTTCTACGGTGTACCTGTACGTTAAGAGAAGCACAGTAAACATCAGTAAAGAAGAACTCTCGTGTCTCTCGTGTATGTGTACAAGCCGGCATAAATTGTCTTCTAACATCCAGAAGTCTGTGACGTGTTTTATAGTTTCTAACAAGCTTTTGACAATTAAAGGTAATATTTCAGTTCAATTGAATTTTATTTATTTAGCACCGAATCTCAGCAACAGTATTGTAAGGTAAGGGCTACAATAATACAGAGAAACCCAAACAATCAGACAACCCCTTATGAACAAGAACTTTGGAGAAGGAAAAACTCCCTTTAAAGAGGAAGAAACCTCCGGCAGAACCAGGGTCAAGAAGGGGCAAACATCTGCCATGACCAGCTGGGGGTGAAGGGAGGAAGACAAGACAAAAGACACACTGTGAATGAGAGCCAGAGATTAATAATAGCTAATAACCAAATGCAGAGTGGTGTATAAAAGTGTTAAAATGATATGTGTATGTGGCGGAGGTGTGGTCCCGGGCGCGGCTGCAGGGGAGGAGTGGTGCAGTGGGCTCAACGGGGCGGTGCTGGAAATGCCGGTGAGAACAGCTGATGGCGATTTGGACTGATAATGGTTTCCTTCCCTTTTTATAGTGAGACGGAGAGGAGCGGAGGGAGAGGGAAATCAGCTGGGACCGACAGCTGTCAGACTGTGTTCATATCATAACCTGGGAAAACTATAAATAAATGTGGAAGCTGGTGATAAAGACCTGTGTGTGTGTGTACCTGTGTATAGTGCATTTCACAGTGTACAATAGTTGCTTACAGTGAAAATATCTCTAATTAATATATTGCTGTTCATAATTTAATGCCAAAAATTCCTATTTAGCAAGAGACCAGATTATTGATACATTTTTCATTTTTTTAAAAAGTTACAAGGAATCCCTGAAAGATGCTTTTCACCATTTTTTCATCAGAAAAGGCCTTTAAAGTTATTATCAGCCAGAGTAGAATATCTGTCTTTAGAATATTTAGAGTCAATGTTGATTTCAATAATTGAAATCTGTAAAAATGACCACAAACTACTTAAAATGTACAAACATCTTTGGTCAGAGGTCAAACAGTAATCCACACACCCACCCCATTGATCTCTTCCCCCTCTCAGTCTGTGTTTATTTGTCCGAGTAGACAGAAGTCTGCAAATAAGGTTCAAGTGAATGAGGAGGTGGGGTGACTGGCACATGCTTCCAATGATAGGGAGCACACAGGCCTTCATTATTTCCTCAGTCTGTCCTCGGACACAGAGGAGGCAACATGGACCTGTGGGCTGTGCTGCTGCTCGCTCTGCTCGCCGACACTTTGGCTTCAGACGGTGAGTCTAACAAAATCTACTTTTGACTTCATAGAGTAGCTTTGTGCTCTGTTCAGGACCCTGCTTCAGATCTGATTTGGGACCTATTGCGTACAAATTTGGGTGGTAAAAGTTGAATTATGTTCATTAACTGTTGTATTAAAATGTCTGACGCATAAACTTTGAGGCACTAGCAAACAATTTGCTTAACAAGTAGACATATTTATTATTGTCAGTACAGCTAATAAAAAACAATTCATTTGATTATTTTCATAATAAATTAATTATTTTGTTTCCAAAATGTTGTTAAATATATGGAAAAATGAGTAAAGTCTTTAGAGCACTTTGTTAAATCTACAAAACTGTAATCATTTTGAATTATTACAACTGTCTTTTAATATATTGCCTAATTCACTGTAAGATTGAGTTTTTGATATCCCATGAGTCTGTGCCGCTGGCATACAGTCAAAGCCTCATGGGAGCTGTAATCAAATTTACGTTTATTATCCAAAGGAGGAAATGAATTTTGTTCTGAGGTACAAACAGCGGAGAGAGGGAATGACTGAAGCATGTTGTTTTATCTCCAGAGTCATGTTTGGACCGCTGCGAAAATGGCTTTGACGCCCGGAAGAAGTGCCAGTGTGACTCCATGTGCAAGTACTACAAAAGCTGCTGCTCTGACTTTGAATCCACCTGCAATATGATGAGTAAGAAACCTCCCTGCTCATTGGTTCGTTCATTCATTCTGTTAAGAACTCACAGGTCAAAAATGGATGTTGACATTTCTCTCACACCCCCCTCAGCTCGCGGAGACACATTTCAGTTTGCTGAAGACGATTATTACGATGGGCAATCTGAGAGCACGCCTCAGCCCACACGTCGTTCAGCACGCAATCAGCTGAGGCCTACACAACCGCCGGACTTCAATCCCAGAGCGCAAGAACGCCCCGAGACCACGCTGGAAATGACCAGACCGACCAGACTGAGAGTCTCTAACATCCCGCCGACACGTGCGACACACCCAGACACCCACACATTGGAGGACTCCATCACGACCAGCGCAGCAACCGAGGTGACCACAGTTCCTGCCACAACAGCCACCACCGTGGCCCCTGACCCAGATGCTGAGGTCTGCAGTGGCAGACCTTTTGACGCCTTCATGCAGATCAAAAATGGCTCCATCTATGCTTTCAGAGGTCAGTGAGTGAATTCATCTGTTACAAGACAACCTTTCAGGCTCTGTCATGGTCTCGCTCATGTTTGAAAGTAACAAATAAAACAGCATGATCGCTCTGGCTTTGTTTTCCAGGGGAGTACTTCTTTGAACTTGACCAGAAGGCAGTGCTCCCTGGTTATCCAAAGCTCATTAAGGATGTGTGGGGCATCAGCGGGTCCATTGATGCTGCGTTCACCCGCATCAACTGTCAGGGGAAGACCTACATCTTTAAGGTGGAACCAAAACAAATCAAATCCAATTATCTTAATAATTTTGATCACTTTAATTGTTTGCAACTCTCCAAAGAAATCAAAAGCTCTAAGAGAATAAAAATAATAATTCAACAATAGAAAAAAAAAGAAAATTCAACACAACAATAAAGTACTGTTGGGCGAGGAGCCATATTTGGTGACTTAAGTGGACATGAAAATTGGCCTCCTCGTGACTCACTGGGAGGTTGTAGAAACACATGGATTTCTCCCAGCTAATCAGCAAAGATCAGCTTATGTGACATTATTGCATCTGACCAATCATTAAAGGCCTGGAACATTTTAAACTTCCAATCAAATTCTTCCTGAATTTAGGAAATTGGCTTTTCCCCCGTACCTACTCCCACACTTGTGGTTAAAGCATTAAAACTAACAGGGGTTGGCAGGGCTGCACTCTGATATGTGTGTTATATTTATGAAAATTGCCAGTGTGAAACCAGGAAAATGTTCAAAAATAAATCCTCCTTTAAATATGTATTTTATTCTTATAGTCTTTTGTAGAAAAAAAATGCTCTAAATGTGTGAGGAACCATATATGATAACTTCAGTGACTTTGCACTATAAAAAAGTAAAAAAAAAACTTTGAAAAAAGTTTGCTTTTTTAATGTCCTCCAATAACACTCAAATTTTCCATTTCCATGTATTTCAATGACTGCCTTATAAAGGGCAAAGCCAATATTGGAAACATTATGTCATAGTTTAGGTTTAAAAGTATTTTAAAAAGCTAATCTACTACAAATTTGATGTTTACCCATGTAGGGAAACAAGTACTGGAGGTTTGACAATGGCGTGCTGGATGATGACTATCCCCGATACATAAACGTTGGCTTTGACCGGATTCCCGATCATGTGGACGCAGCGTTTGCCCTTCCTGCCCACAGCCACCACGGAAAAGAGAAGGTCTATTTTTTCAAAGGTACAACCAGACGCTTTGGTTTGCATACATCTCCAGCTGTTCCTGTAGTACTGAACATCAGTGGCTCATCATACCATCCTTTCTGCAGGTGACCAGTATTATGTGTATGAGTTTTTGCACCAGCCGTCTCATGAGGAGTGCATCAAAATGTCTGAGAGCTCTCCGTCCACTCCCTTCAGGCGCTACACTGATGTGTACTACAACAACTATGAGCGTTTCTTCGGCGAGCTCTTCTCTGACCGTGAGTTGTGCAGTTATAGACCTATTTGTGCAGACAGGAGTCACACGTGTGTGTGGTTTAACTTATTTTTAATCTTCTGCAGTGCCTCAGCATCATAGTAAGCACCACTTTATTAACAAGGACTGGAAGGGCCTCAGGTCTCCAGTGGATGCTGCCATGGCGGGCAGAATCTACATCAGTCCTTGGAGGTCGACGCGACGCCGCTACAACAGCCAGCAAGACCAGCAGTGGGACCAGCAGTGGAACCAGCAGTGGAACCAGCAGTGGGGTCGGCGGAGACAAAATCGTTCACCCTCCTGGGGCTCCTTTGCTGAGCAGGGAATGAACATGGGGCGGGAATTTGCTGAAAGAGGGATGGAAATGGGTATGAGACTGGCAGAGAGGAGGATGGAAATGGCAGAGAGGCTGGGACAAGGCTGGGACAGACGGTGGGATCAAGACTGGGACCAGGACAGACGGAGAGATCGTTATGGCCAGAACAACAGAGGCAACTATGACTCCAGAGATGACCGATACGGCTACGACTTCCAAAGGGAGATGCCCATACAGACCGTCTACTTCTTCAAAGAAGGTAACAGATTCAGAATGGGACGCACCGTATCAAACAATGTTTCTGAAAATGTATTCAATCATTCATTTCCACTGCCTTACAACATGTGGTTAATTGGTTATTTTGTAATTCATAGTAATATAAATTAGAAAAGCAGCAAAGCATTGCATTTAAAAAGAACAGTTTAACATTTTCTTTGTTAAATTAAGCAACAGTTTGTAGATTTCAGTCCATATTGACATGATAGCATCACACGGTTGCTGCAGTTTTATCGGCTGCACATCCACCACATCCCAAAGGTTCTCCTGGAGATCTCGTGGCTGTGGTCATTTGAGTGCAGTGAACTCGTTGTTATATTTAAGGAACAAGTTTGAAATGATCTGAGCTTTGTGGCATGGTCTGCTATCCTGCTGGAACCAGCAATCAGAAGATGGGTTTGCTGTGGCCATAAAGGGATGGACATGGTCAGCATTAATACTCAGGTAGGCGGTGTTTGAGAGGCCTGAAGTAAGCAAAGACACCACCACCACCCTGAACTGCTGGGAAAAGGCAGGATGGATCCATGTTTTTTTTTTACAACAAATTCTGACCCAGCTATCTGAATGTTTCAGACTAGGCAACGTTTACCCAAGCTTCTATTAGCCTCAGTTTCCTGTTTTTAGCTGGCTGAAGTGGCATCCAGTGCGGTCTTCTGCTGCAGTAGTTCATCTGCTTCAAAGGGCTGAGCGTTCAGTGATGCTCTTCTGCATACCTTGGCTGTAAAGAGTGCCTTTTTTGAGTTACTGTTGTCTTCCAATCAGCTCGAAGCACTTTGGCTATTCTCCTCTTTCCGCTGGCATTATCAAAGCATTTCACACAGAAAATGCCACTTCCACACTCCAACACTCCATCTGTTTGTGGCAGAGGGCTGCCCCTCCCTGAGCCTGGTTCTGCCAGAGGTTTCTTCCTGTTAAAATTGAGTTTTTCCTTCCCACTGTTACCAAATGCTTCCTCACTGGGGGCTGTCTAATTTTGGGGGTTTTCTGTGTTTTGCTGTAGGGTCTGTACAATTTAAAGCACCTTGAGGTGACTAACAACCATGCGACAGTCAAAAAGAACCTAAATCACCTTTCTTCACCATTCTACCCCTAACTAATGAAGTTATCAGTGAGTGTACATTAATCATTACAAAGTCAGCTAGAGCAGAAGGAAAGAGAAAAGGCATATCCCATGAGTTATTGTCTTTATTTCAAGGTTTCCTGGGAACTGTAATCAAATCAAATCTATTTTAAGGAAGATGAGGATGTTAAAGAAAAAGAATATCTCACGCTCACAGCAAAAGCAGGGCCGTTATTAACAGCAATGCTTATGAAGGCTAGTACAATAATGGTTAAATGACTAAATAACAATGATGATTTTATCATTGTTCAAATATTGTGTGTTTGGTCTTCACACTGCTGGCACATAAACTAAGAGCTGAGTCACAGCTGTAGACGGCAGACAGCTGGGGGAGGCAACAGGAACTAACTTGCTCGGCTCTCTCTCACCACACACTAGTTTCATTACATTTTAATGCTGTATATAGTTCATACAGCAAAAAACAGATGCCTAACATTGTTTCTGTTTTATACTTTACTCCAAGTGCATTTCTGTTTGTAATCTTTACGTCATATTCAGTGTCATTCTGGTTTATGTTTAACCACTACTCCACACACTATAATAATAGTATAGTATGTGTACAAAGCAGACAATATGAATACTAACTGTGACTGGTAAGCATGTGTTGAGTGAGTTTTTGTGTTTTCTAGATAAATACTACAGAGTGGATATCAGGACTAAGAGAGTTGATCCTGCTGTTCCTCCGTACCCCAGATCCATCGCCAAGTACTGGCTCGGCTGTTCGGACACCCCTGGAGCAGAGAAGAAGTAGTTTCCAGAATTTTAGTTTGTTATTTTGATCAGTGTAACCCAGTTAGCGTGTAATAGAGCTGTTGTTTTTACTGCAGTAGGCAGTGGTAGGGGTTAAAAGTGTCGAACATGCGCAGTGTAACACACAGCTAGCTGACTTCAGCAAATATTGGTGTATCGGTGAGAGTCCACATGCAGCTTAGGGCCAAAGTTCAGCTGGCTGACTTTCAGTCAGCTTTATTAAACGCAGCTAAAGTGAAAAACACATTTAACAGAGAGACCCAGAGACAGCAACGTTTATCCGTCTGAAAGCTAAACTCTGTTAATGATAATTAATCTGCAATTATTACTGTATTCATTACTTATCGTGTATTTTGAATAATGTATCTACAAAAGCCAAAGTGTTTATTGTCTTTTTATTAATCACGGTCATGTTTATACAGTGAAATAATAATACTATAAAATATTAACACAGACTTCAGGGGAGGTTTAATTCACCAGTGGTCACAAGCAGGGCAGCAATGTGTTTCTAACCCCACAGCAGTGTTCGTGCGCTGTGGACTTAACATCGGGTCACAGAAGTACAAACATTTTTACAATTCCAGTTCTCTGACTGATTTATACGATAGAATAAACAACCCTGCCGGGCTTTTCCCTCATGTGTAAAGCATGTACTGATTCTGAGTGAATCGCGACTACAATCTGTTACAGCCTGTTCTTACCTGAGTTTCATCCAAGACTAATAAAATATCCACAGAGCAGCAGACTCAGATCCTTTCCTCATACTTAACTGAATCAATCAAATCAATCAAAAAGTTCATCACACTCATTTTATTATCTTCTGGGAACCCACCCAGATGTTCATCACTGCTTCTTTTTCCACAAACTTCCACTCTTTACTTCCATTTATCCTTTCTGACTATATAAGCACAATAGGTGCAGATATTACATCTGTCCATCCATCCATCATGGGGGTGCTGGAGCCAATCCCATCGATCGTCACACATTCACACTTTCAGCCTATTTAGATTCACTAATTAATCTAACATACATGTCTTTGGGCTGCAGGAGGGACTCAGAGTACCCAGAGAGAACAGAAAGGCCCCAAAACAGCCAATGGATTCAAACCCAGGACCCAGCTGATGTTGCTCCTAAAGCTGTTGGCTAATGAAAGTCTAAATGCAGGACTTTCACCCACAAGACTGTAAGTTTGTGCTAATGTAAAAGTAAATATTTAGATTTTTAGGCTTAGATTAAAATAATACTAAAAAGAGTAGTTTCAGTTTTCAGTTGCAGTTGTTTTTAGGTTAAGCCAGAAACACTTGGTTATAGGTTTAGGGAAAATATGTTTAGTGAGTATTGAAAAGGCCTGAAGAAAAACTAAGTTACAAAGATAAAAATTCATAACAGCATGATCGGTCAGTTCAGGGTCATGGTACTGGGGAAACATGGGTTACAGTGTGGGAACAACACCAAGGCAACAACGGACTGTGTAGCGTTCTTGTTAGAAAACACCCTATTTTCTTGTTCCATCTGTTGTTTGAAATTTCATTAACGGTTGCTATTTTTAAAATCACAATTTCTCTGTTATTTCAGTCATGTGAGCTGCAGCTGCACAAATCTCTCAGAGAAGCTTTCTCCATTGTTCAGTTATAACTGCAGGATAACAAACATGCGGCTGTTTTTCGATCAGTCCTGCTGACCCGTTTTCTCAGAGGTCACGAGTTTTTGATCTGGACATTTTCGTACCAGGGTTCATCAGTCATACTGACCGCCGCTCCTTCGTTGGTGATGATTTCAATGGGGCTTGTGCCATCTCCCACGGGTCTCAGAGTCCGGTAGGAGCTCTCAATTTGTTCTTCATGATGCGAGGCAGCGTGCTGCCTTTCGTCTCCTTCGGCCCGCAGATTAGACCCCGAGTCGGCTGACGCCACTTCAGGCACGCTCTTTAAAATGGACGACAGCGGCCGTTTTGGAGTGCCACTCTCTGTTGGCAGTGTGCCATTCGATCCAGCTGCATCAGAGGAGTTGTGGGAGGAGTGCTTCCTCCTGATTGGCTTACAAACTCCAGCCTCCCTTGTAGACGGTCCTCCCTGCTCCCAAACAGCCGCCCGAGCTCCCAGCTTCTTCCTGGGTGGTTTGATGATGCCTTCACTCCCCTTCGGCTTAGGCCTGCCAGACTCCTGCTCTTTTTGCCTCTGGAGGCTGCCCAGTCTTCGCAGCATCGCCTGAACGGGGCCCTCAGAGCTCGGCTCTGTTTTTGTGATGGGCTTACCCGCCTTACCCACCGTCACATACACAGTGGTGACCTTATGAGAGCCCCCTTCTTGAGCATCAGAGGCGGACGATGTCCCTTTATGAGCAGCTGTGTTAGACATAGTCCGTCTCCGTCCTGATGCTCCAGGAACCTGCAGGGTGGACCTTGATGGGGTTCTGTCTACTTCCTGGTCAGCCTCCTCACAGTTTAACTCCTGACTGTCGGTCACATCCACTCCATCTTTCTCCTTCTCGCCCTCAAGTCCGTTCCCCTCCCCAGTTCTAGCTGTGCTTCCCTGACTTTGCAGGGCCGATAGCATCAAAACCCCCCAGGATGATTTGGGTTTGCTGCGAGGGAGAGCACAAGGGTCCTGAGCAGAGCCACGCCTCTCTTTGGGGCTGAAGCGGGTGCCTTCAGCAAATGAGACGGATGGCCGCTTGGCCTTGGCAATGCTGGAGGTGCGAGGGATGTTAAAGGGTGAGGAGATGTCCTCGCTGCTGAAGCCCGATGGGTCTAAGAACATGTTACACTTTGAGCTCATCTCCTGGAACTCACCGCCCGCCACAGCCGGGATGTCTAACAGAAACAGAGCAAAACATCAACCAGTGCCAGAAAGAGTTTTTAAAAGTGGCAGTTCTACCTTGCACCAAAAGAGGGCACTATAAACTTTGTTAACTGGTGAACTTTATTTTTGCCTCTACCTTCCATTGGAGGGACGCAGTAAAGAGCCTCTCCCGTCTCCTCATCGCTGTCGAAGGACGATCCCTCCGTCACCCAGCCAGAGGAAGGAGGCTCAATGAAGCTGTGGTTGAAGGTCAGCTCAGGGTCATGGTGTGACACTGTGTGTGTTTACATGAGACATAGAAAGCAGATTAATTTAAAAAGAATAATAATAATAGAACTAAATATCACAGCTTCTGGTCATAATTCATGCACACAGTAGACATTTTAAAAGAATTCAAATCTTAATGATGATTAAAATAGTCTTTTTTGTACTTTTATGAAGTTTGTATACAATAGTTGCATTACACTGTGAGCACTGTGAGTGGCAAGACTGACCGGTGACACGAGGCAGGCCAGAGGACCAGGCAGAGATACACGGCAGGGCAGCGCCAATGTTTGCCAGGACGCTATAAACGTGATACTTCATCCGAACCAAGAAGCCGCCATCAGCAACAGTTGTACTACGACCAAAAGAAATCATGTAAAGTTACCGGTATATAGAATGATAAACGTAGCCTGCTTTCCATGTTTTACCGTCTATGCAAAGTGAAGATAAAATGCCTAAAAGAAAGGTAGCTGCTGACCTGTCTTTGTCTCTGTCACCAGCCGGGCGTCCTCCACAACACAAGCAGCAGCAAACTACAGCAAGAAGCAACAGGAGCAAAGGAACCAGCACACCCGCAAGCACAGCACCTCTGTAACCTGTCATTCAAACACACACACAAACACAAACATGTAAGGGAAAGTACAAGACACACTAATGTACACATTTATACACAAAACTGACAGATAACTGAGTGGATGGATGGACGTACTGTTAGGACAGGCTCCGGTCACAGAGTCGCAGGCCACCCCCTCACCGCAGTCGCAGACAGAAGAACAGTTGAAGCCAAACCGGAGGGCAGGGCAGCTGTTGTTACAGCTGGAAACATCCATGAGTCACAGTGAGTAAGAAAGTTAAATCAAGATTTTATTTTAGTACTGGGTGAACACATAACGATGACGTACAAGCATCACAGAGAAGAAAGTTAAAGGGGCCACGTTTTCCATGTTTTAACCTACTAACCTCAGATCGTACACTCAGGGCAAGAGAAAGAGTGAAATCAGAAAAAATTTAAATTTGAAGGCTTCTTGAAAAGAGTTCAATGTAGTTTTATTAATTGAAACCTTGACTGCGATTACACCAGTGGGCAATATATGGTTGGATAATGTAAAGGACATCCAAGTCATGAAGGTAGTTAGTTTCATTTTTTTACCATGGTTGGTGTGACTAGAAAACTTCTGCAATGCTACCACCTTTTGGAACATCCCACAACTAATTAGGTTAATTGTAAGTTTCTAAATTGCTGGATTGTCAGTTAAACACAGTCTTTAACTGATCTGGGAGTGCAGTTTAACTATTTAAAATCTTAACCTTTGATAAAAGCTGCATCTGCAACAGTAAGTCTATCCAACAGTAAGCAATGCTTTAATTTTCTCACCTCTCTCCCTGGAAGCCTGGCGCACAGACACATTTTCCTGTCACATGATGGCAGTTGCCATGAAAACAAGGACTACACGTCAAGAGGCAGGCGTCTCCAAACCTCCCGTTAAGGCAGCGCTCCTGACACCTGGACGAGGACAGAAAAACGAGGACAGAGATTACTAACACTTACACTGTTGGCGGTACAAACTTTCCATCCTCTATAAGCAGACTGTTTTTGAGCTTAAGTGTCATAAGCAGTGCTCATGTTTTACCACATGGATCATTTTATTAATTTTGCATCTTTAGGCAACTTAATCCATAAGTTTTAACTCTTCCAAGCAACTCTTTGAATCCGTCATGTTCAAGAGACTGCAGTACAGTTGTAAGCAGTGAATAACTTGGACTTTTTAGCAGATTCATCTCTTTTTGTTAAACTCAAATCATCTCTTGTCTTCTGGGTCTGACTTTCTGATTATGTCTCTAGTCAGTGAAATGCGCTTTGACAGCCAACTCACGGACGTCAGAGCCTCCCACGAACAGCTGTATGCACAAGTACGGAAGTGTTTTCAGTCCCCAGATCACACCACAGGATGACAATGGAGCTTCTGACAAAAATAACTATAATCTGTGACAGACAGACAATTTACTGATTGATTGATTTTTCAGTTTGAGCTAAAGCATATGAACCACACTGATCACAGGATGCTTCCTAAGACCAGTGAGGTGCAGGCCGCTGATCATTTTTATTCTTTTTTTTAAAATAACACAGTGATTAAGTAGCCAGTTATTACATTTTAGCATTTCTGTATATTTAGAACCCCAATTCCCAAAAAACTCAGAAGTAAAGATGGACAGAGGTTCAAAAAATTGAGCCATTAACTTGTGGAACAACTTCAGCTTTGACAAATTTTTTATCTACAATACAGAATCTGGAGAAATCTCTGTGTGCAAGGGACACTACCAAAAATCAAAACCCGTGATCTTCGAGCCTTCAGACAGCACTGCATTAAAAACAGACATGAGGGATGCTGCAAAGCCGTAAACATGACCCTTTCACAACATTTTTGAGATGTGTTGCTACCATCAAATCAAAAATGTGTAAATATTTTTCTTTAAATTGCATTTTCTATGTTCTACTGTGACTAAAATGTGAGTTTATGAGATCTGCAAATCATCACGCGTCCTACTTTTTTGGAAATAAGGTTTTAATTTGAAAGCTAATTCTTTCCTTTTACCTATTAATTGCTTTGATTATGTCAAAGTGTAAAAACGCACCAAAAAAAGGTGAAAAATAATGACTCGTAATGTACTTTGTAAAGCAGTTAGTTGTAAATAGTGTAAATTTTTATGTATTGTTGCTAATGTTTCCCCAAAATATGCGCGCGCACCTGGGTCCAGTCCATCCGGGATCACAACTCTGACACAACCCAGTTTTTGGGTCACAGGGTTCATTGTTCCTGCATCGTGGACACCCTTCTTTGCAGCCATCACCATGGAAACCAGATGAACATGGGCGGTCGCATCGCGTACCGTTCCAGCCCGGCTCACAGGCTGCACATGTGCCATCGATCAGAGAGCAAAGCTGGTTGTCTTTACAGTGACCACAACTGAAGACAAGGGATAAAGTTCAGCAGTGAGAACACACACATTCACGTGTATCCACCTTTCTTTCCACACACACACAGTCGTGTTTTTATATCCTTGTGGGGACATCTAATTGATATGATCCTTTCCCTAGCTACTTACCCTAACCATCAAAAATGAATGTCTACCCCTAACCCTGACACTAAATCCACATTTTAAGTCTCACAAATGCCTTCGAACACATGGGGACGGGTTTTTCGTCCTCATAGGGGTTGTTGGTCCCCACAAGTATAGCAAGCTTTCAATTTTTGGTCCCCACAAAGATATGTAAACATGATATACACACAAACAAACAGAGACACAGACACACACACATTGAAACCTACCTCCTTTTACAGTCAATGCCATACTTTCCTGCTTCACAGGGCTGGTTGCAGAAGAGGCCCATGTATCCTGGGTGGCACAGACACGTCCCACTCATTACGTCACAGCTGCTGTGTTTGAGGTCACATTTACAACTCAGGTCACAGCTGGTTCCCCACATGCCAGGCTTGCACTCGCACACACCATTGCGCTGATTACACGGGGACTGGTTACAGTCGCACGGGTTTGTACACCTCATCCCCCAGTGCCCCTTGTGGCACTGACACTTGCCTGTCTGCTGGTCACAGCTGGGGCCTACAGACCCACCGATATCACACTGGCACGGTTTGGCACAGGTTGAACCTGAATAGCTGGTGTCGCAGGTGCAGTTTCCGTGGATGGGGTGGCAGCGCCCGTGCCGGGAACACCTGCAGGTTTGCTTGCATAGTGGGCCCCAACGGAGTGGGTGGCAGGTGCACTCGCCAGTGGCTGGATGACAGCGCCCGTTAGGATAGCACTTACATATCTGACGGCAGTCTGGACCCCAGAACTCAAGAGGACAGTCTAGAAACAACACACCAGTGAGTACATAAAGAGCTATTACTAGACTAAAATATAGTAATTATCAACACTATAATGTTTTTATATTGTTATTTTTCTTATTTCTTCTACAACGAATGGACGTTTTAACTCACTGGTTTTGCACTCAGCACCATAGTAGCCAGGTGGGCAGCGACATAATCCAGGATATAAACAGATCTCACCCTTCAAACAGGCCTGCTCACCCTCACATACAGCTGCACACAAACACAAAGAGAAAACAAAGCCAATGTAGAAGTGGTAACAGCATAGGAATAATAATCATTAGAATACTAGAACTTACGTATTGTGCACTCTTTTCCCTCCTGGCGCCATCCAAGGCAACAGAACAGGTTAGAGGGATCCCTAAGAATTACAGACATCATCAAATCAGCTTGATAAATCTGAAACCTTAGTAGAAAAAACACTCCAGTGCCTGCATTCAGCCATGTCATCCTAAAGAAGGACGGGCCACACAACCCACAAGCCAACAGTACAATCTCATGGCACTAATATTCATCACAAGAACTCAAAGCCAGACGAAGGCCGCCAAAAATGTTAATTCGGTAACCCGCTGTTGCCACTTAAGACTCAAAAGCCAGTATGTGCGAGTGAAGGAAAAGCTGGAGTTTACCTTATATTCTGGCAGACGTTCTTCCCAGCAGGATCCAGAGTGTGAGCGCAGGCCAGCGAGAAGCAGAGCAGAGCACTGAGAGCTCTGAGGAGAAGCTTCATCTCCAATCTGAAAGCACAACCAGGGACAAATATATTCCCGTCTTTATTTCTGCTCCCAACTTGTCTTTGTCTCAACTCGAGGGGAGAAAAACGAGGGGCAGTACCTATCTCTCAGCCTCCCTCCACCCTTCCCTCTCTCTTTCTGTCCGGTGAGTCGTCTTGTGGCTCCAGCATAGCCAGAGAGGTCGAAGCCCCCGGGTTTCCTCTTCCCATTTCCTGGGGAAGTCAGAGCCACTTCCTTCTATTCAGCCAGACACAAGAGCTTTTTAAAGATGGTCGAACACTAACACACAAAACTCGCCGTACACAACGATGGGGCGCGTACGAACAAACACACACGTACTGATGGTCACCCTTTTGTCAGAATCTATTGCAGTAGGTCTTACAGGAGATGATGAAGGAAGCCTTTGTCTTCCTTATAAGTCGTGAAAGTCGGTGAAAAGATGCCCATGTGATCAATTTGAGATCCAGTGAAAGCTTATTCAGCATTCTTTGTTCCTTTTCTTATGAGGGTAAAAAAAATGAACTGAGATTGTTTCACTTTTGTAAATATATTCTCTGTTTAATAGATGTTTTTATTGAAATCTCAATGTCACACATTTTTCAGTTGTTTTATAATAAAATTCACTCAGATGGCAAATAACACCTTAAATGTGTTTACATCATAAAAACAAACAAAGAAAATGCTCCATTACAAAGATGCTTACAAAAATAAATTGCCCACAAAGGATGTCAGGAGAAGGTGGCTTTACTCAATGTTCATTCATTCTCCCTTTACACATGCCACTGGCCTGCCTGAGTAGTTTCTACTACATTTAGAGGGAACAGAGGGGTTCATTTAAAGTGGTGGTGCTGAAAGCACACGTTTAGGGCACCACCATCAAATACCCGAATACTGATACATGATTGATTGATTTTTACACTACGAGCACTAAAATAAGGCTTATGGGGTTAAGATGCACTCTCCTAACCTGCACTGCACTCACTTTTCTGTTTCCTTGTGCATAGAAGTGCTTCAGATCATTTAACCTCCTCAGACCTGAACTCTTCCACGGCATGCATTTTTAGTTTCTCTTTGATATTTGGACATATTGGGGCCCGATGAATGTAAAAACAAAGAATTACCAGATTTTTTTTTCTTTATTTTTGTTTTTAAGAAAAATAAGAGCCACATATGAGGATATTCATTTAAAATTTTGATAGAACAGTAGCAGTATAATGTCCTCGTGAGTGGATATCAGGCCCTTGTAGAGCAAAATTGAGTATTTTGGTCTAAATAACCCAAAATGTGATGACCACATATGTGGACGCCAGATCCTAGGAGGTTAAACATAGAGTAACCACATGGCTTTAAAATTCCCTCACTGAGGTATGAGTTAGATTGTAATTGTTTGTGAAAATATTTGTATGAGTTATAAAATGAGCAGAACTTAATTTACTGCTTTATGTACTATTAAAGTAGATAATTATATCTATTTAAAACTCAAACTATGTCTTTGGTTTTTTTTTAAAATACATATAAACACTGAATCTGATTTTACTGAATTACCAAAAATACATTTTTTTTCTAAGAATGAAAAAAATCATGATTGTCTTCCTGTACAAAATATCATAGCAGTATTTCTTATATCGTACTGTAGTTACACAATGTTCCTCTTGTTTTCTCCTTCCATGATAAAGGGGAAGGCATCAGACATGAACTAATCATGGTTGAAACTTAACTTCAGGAAATAAGAGGGGATTGTTTAAAAGCGCTTCTTTATCTTCCAGCGGTGCTCTGGGTCTGCATTCAAATGTCCTCATAACCTTTGCCCTGAGCAAAAACCGCAGAGAAGTTGTGACTGAGGTGAGGAGAAAGTGTTGTCTGAGTGTCAAACTTGGAGAAATCTCTCAGTTCAATCTCTGTGCTCAGTAACGCGTTCAGGAAGACCTCAGCTGCTCCGCCTCCTCATTGGCCTCGGAGTCTCTGATGATCTCCCAGGAGGAGTTGTTCACGTCGGTGGGACCCGGGCCGCTGCTTGACCTCGTCAGGAAGCCAAAGCTGCAGGCGACAGAGCAGAAGGGACAGGCCTGAGATCAGATCTGCAGTCAGGGATTACTGCTAAATATAGACTGGGATTGACAAAATCTGAGGAGGGTGACATTGTTAACAGAGCGAGGGAGATGGAGTGATGTCTGCAGTGTTTCTGCTTTTATTCTTTCTTTCTGAGTGGTTCACTTTCTTATTGCATTTGCTCTATGTTTATTGACAGGAACAGTGCAAAGCGCTGAAGCTGTTGAAAATTAATTTATGGTTCATTTTGCCAGCATTCTGTTTCAGTAAATGTGCAGCAGATGTGGAAATGAGACGAATGACAGCTTTAATCAGCACTGTGACCTCATGTAGGAACGAAAAGAGCACTAATATAAGCCGAAACATAAATATAAAACACCACCAGGTTCTGCTGCTTTTTACAAACCAGGACTCTGGCTTCCAGTCTGACCAGTGCGGAGTGATTGTCCAACATCGTACTCACAGGTTTCGAATACGTGACTCAGCCGGTTTCACTGTTCCATCCACTTCTGTTTGGCCAAACAGAGAACTCCTGTCTTCCTCATCACTGCCGAGGAAAAAACAGAGTCACTCAAACCCCTTTCGCTTTCTGAACATCTTTTTAAATCCGCGCATTGTTTCCTATTGTTGTTCTAGAAATCATGTCTGTAAGAAATACCTGCTGCTGCATTCGTTGTTAGGAATCCCAAGCATCTTGGCTTTAATGAGCTTTCTTTTTTTCTTGATGGCAGAGCGCACAGCTTCTAAGAGAAAACCTGGACACCTCTCCTCGTTCAGTATTTCCCTGCAGACACATACAGTCCTTTCAGCGTGTAGACAACTTCACTGGCACCATGACCATCAACTAAAACAAGAACACACGCACCCAAACAAGAAAACCCACCTCTGATAGTAGCTGAGCTCCTCCTGCACCAAGAAGAGGTTGGTTTTTAGCTCGTTCCTCTCGAAAAGGATGTCGCGCACCTCCTTCTTGGTGAAGCACGGCTGATCGGGATCCTTCTGATCGGATGTTGGCTTTTTCTTTGGCTCCTGTGCTGTTTGACTTGGTCGGGACTGACGGGACAACAAACAGTGATCAACAGATTAATTCAACCACAAAGCTGATTCAGCAAAGAGCAGCAGTTATTTGATCAACAGTGCAAGCTTAAACTCTCTAAACACTCTAGAGTGACGTTGGAGTCCAAAGTTCACAGATTTCCCTTTTAAGGCCTTAAGTAAATATTAAGGTATCTCTAAGAAGCATCTTATTCAATATGCGGGAAAGTAAAGAAACATATCTGTCGTATCCAGTGTGAAAGGTGTGCATACCGGCGTGTTGCTGTTGGTTCTGTCGAGCTGTGCTTGGAGGTTTTCTATTTCTTTGTTTTTCTCCTTCAGGTCGGCCTCCATGTCGGCCTTCCTCTCCACGGTGCTCTTCAGCTGGGCCTGCAAAACATTCTGCTTGTGTCGCAACTCTGCATTCATTTTCATAAAGCGCTCCAGCTGCTCCTGAAGCTACACACACACACACACATAAACATACACATATATATATGATTTACAAATTTGCATCATGAGCAGTACTGCAGACAGTTATAAACACAGCTTATGGCTAAATCAATGAACCAAGGCTGACCCACAAAAATGGAAATTGGAAATGTGGTATATAAGATTACTCTGCCTTAATATAAAGGATTAAAAAATAGGCATTATTTAAAATAAAATAAAAAATACTCCTTGGTTAACCAAATCAAAGCCAACTCTTTTACTTCCCCCAGTTGACCATGAAGTGAGTTTTTCTTTCTGTTTAAAAGTCAGCTGATTGGGTGCAAAACGCCAAGCATTAACAAACACACCCAGTTATGGCCGCTATTTAAATCATGTGGTATACATGCCCTGACACACATACAGCCACGTGCAAACACTCACACAATAGCACACACCCACACTGTGGCTGTACCAAGATGAAAACAGTGCCCTGACTTGTCTAAAGTGCAGCTTAAATCATCAAGCAGTAACTGTGCGGATAATCCCTGCCCTCTTTTCCTGACAGTTAGCACACTTTCTGCCTTCCAGTGGCTCCGTTAGAGCGGTTTACATGATGCAAGTTCTCTTGTGTTGCTGTGCGACACATGACTCCACGACTGTGTATGTGAGTATGTATGATATATATAGAAATAACACAATACATAAAACAGGGTTTGAGAATAATGAAAAAAATGCTACTGTTTCCATGAGAAAAGTCAGAAAGTCTGTAAGGAAACACAACTTGCAGCCATAAATCTGATTGAGTGTAACCTTGTGATCCACATGGACAAAGAACACTTTTTATTATTTAAGGGCTGCACTTCATACATGTTTTCATCTTAATTCTCAAGTGACCGAGCCAATATATTTTAATGTTTGTTTATTTATACTTCTACTATTTCCTTTCCCTTTAAAAGAAATGATAAAATGTTTTGATTAAATTAAAGATGTTTTCAGTGAAGAGTTAACCCGACCCAGCTCCATCTTTAGATTAGTTTCCATTGTCACCATGGGAATCATCTGCCTCAAGGCCTCTGCAGCAGTCAAACTTGTTACTCTAGGTCACTAAAATATTTGTAAGTGGAACATCACAACAGAAATGTCAAAGCTTATAATGTTATCAAAAATAGATAGACACACTAGCCACTTTATAAGGTATACCTTTTAAGCACTGCTTGTTTAAACAAAGATCTAATCAGCTGATCACATGGCAAAAACTGAAGTTCAAACTGAGCGGCAGAATGTGAAAGAAAGGTTATTTAAGTGACTTTGAACGGGCATGGTTGTTTGTGCCAGATGGGCTGCATTGAGTTTCTCGGAAACTGCTGATCCGCTGGGATTTTCCCACACAACCATCTCTATAGAGTTTACACAGAGTGGTCCGAAAACGAGAAAATATCTAAGAAAGTTAATCTATCAGCCTCCTAAAAAGAAAGAATGAAAAAAGGTTAAGAGTGAATTATATCGTATGTCTCCTTACCGCCTCCACCTCTTTGGTGATGGTAGTTATCTCCTGGCTTTTGGCCCTCAGGTCATCTCTTTGTTTATCCACCACCTCCTTCAGCTTTAGCATCACCTCACGCTCCTGCCGCTGAACACGGTCTAACACACACACACACACACAAATTCACAAAGTGTATCAACTTTGTGTAGCTACTTTTTTAACAACTTTTGTCCCTCTTTGTCTTCATAATTTCATAGCTTACGCTCATTCAAATTGGATTTAACATTTAACCTGTGTTTTATTGTTGCTAATGCTCATAATAGCTTACTCGTGTCATCTAAAATGTAATAAACTCATGAGCCCAAACTCTTTCTAAGAAAATCTGCACTAAATAATATCGAAAGACAAAAGTCAGCATAAATAATTACCACAAGACCTCAACATTACACGAGCTTAATACCTTGATCCCATTTGTGTCAATGTGCACGAGGACAGCACGCTGCACGTAATCTTGATTCATTCTACAGAGACTTGAGATTTCAGAGCACAGACAGTATCTCTTGCTTGCATCTACTGTTATCTTGCTTTGCAAATAGTTTTGCTTTCACATTAACAGATTCTGAGAAGTGCATCTCTCAAATGATGCCAACAATTCAGCAAATGAGTTTCATGTAGTTCACCCAGCAGTAAAAATGAGCAGATAATAATAACATTTCTTTTTAACCCTTACACTCTGTGACCTTTCATCAAAACTGAAATAACTGAAAGCATATTTGCGGTGAACCTCAGTGGCCAAACAGCCATTTCACTTTTACTACATGAAATGAATAGTCACGTTCACCTGCCTCAGGGCGTCCTGTCAAATAAATCACAAAGTTAAGACGGCATGAGTTTATCTGCCAGTACGCAAAAACTGGAGCCTTACTGTATATTATGTTTAAAAGACTATTGATCGTATCTCTCTGCTGTTTAATTTTTATAGTGTACAGAGTAATTGTTCAGGTTGTTGTCAGGGTTTAATTTTGATGTTTGCTTTTTCTGAACACTTTCACAACTATGAACTTCAGCCAGCAAAAATAACTGCACTATACACACAGCGATGGCCAGTT